AATGTCGCGTTCGACTAGCCAACTAGACGGTATCATGCCCGGCTGCCCACATAGTGGGTTGCATGTGATGAGCAAGTTGTGGAACTGTGATAGGGCGCAACGATTGACAAAAGGGAGGTTTGATTTGATCTTGTTGACCTAAAAAAGAAACAGCTGAAGGCTGAGCGAGAATAAGGCATGATCGCGCCAACAACTCACCTCCCTTGAATCCACCACCTCCACTCGAATGTCGCATTCGGCCACGAACTTTGCAATGGCACGTCGAAGGCGGGGTTTCAAGAGTACCGGATCCATATAGTTATTGATATCCACTAGCTCTTCGCCTACAGGCTCGCGACCAGCAACGGGAGGCTGCGACGCTCCCCGCGGTGCCTTTTGAGGCGCCTCAAAAGGCTGTTGCGCCCTCCGCTGTGCCGCCCCACTTGGCTCGCCCTGGTATCAACCAGTAAAAAATGGGTCAAAGTTAGTGTTCAATTCAAAGTTAGTGAGCAGCAGTAGGAGGCTATGGCACTCTCCGCGGTGTCGCCCCACTCGGCTCGCCCTGGTATCGACCATTGAAAAGTAAGTCTAGTTAGTGTTCCATTCAAATGCCTCAAGCACCTTACCATGTGTCTGCTGCAGTTTTTAGTGGTGCCTGCTTTGGACATGCTGCACGCCTTGCACGTATGCGAGGTCCTAAGGATCCTCACTCACGGGGAAGAGCTGAATCTTCTCCTTGTACAAGATGCACTCGTTGCACATCTTGCAAATTCCTACTTAGTTATTCCCAGCGGCGATATGGCAGTGGCGTGCCACTTTGACAATCCGTTTTCCTCTTGAATAGAACACTCTAAAGGATCTCTCCGACCCACCCATTCCACACACCCGCACTCACCTTGTACATCCCCTTGAGTGACTTACGGGATTAGAGAAGACTTTTGAGGCGCCTTTTGAGGCGCCTCAAGAACCAACCATCCCATTTTAAAGGATCTCTCCGACCCACCCCATTCCACACACCCGCACTCACCTTGTACACCCCCTTGAGCGACTGACGGGAGAAGGTTCCCAGAACTTTCTTCACAGCAGGTGAAGGAGCAGGATAGGTAGCGGAGCCAGCGCTAAGAACCTGCCACGATCAGTGAGACAAAAGGTGAAAAAGGGGTTAGACCTCGTATGCCACTCACATATAATTCACATGGCAAAATGTTATCACGCCTGAAGCATTCAAGCATCCTAAACCACTACGAACAGCTGTCTTGAAGGAAAGGAATCAGCGACATGTCCCTTCTCTTTGTGTTATGCGGACCATTAAGTTGCATCATCGCTAGAACCTGCAATGGGAAAGGTTTAGAAGCCACATTACCTTACTCCGCTTTGTCTCAGGTCCACTGGAATCCTCACTACCGCTCTCATCCGCGTTACAAGCCTTTCCTGCTGCGGCAACACCGTCCGGCACCGCTCCTGCCCTACCCCCCTCCTCCCCAGCAGCTCCTTCATCACCCTCTTCCCCTTCCCGCCCCTCCCACTTTCAGCAGCAGCCGCAGCGGCAGTGGCAGTGCAGTGGCAGCAGCAGCAGCAGCAGCAGCTGCAGCAGCAGCAGCAGCAGCAGCAGCAGCAACTGCAGGTTGTGAATCAGGGGAGGAAGCACCAGGAAGCAGCAGCAGCAGCAGCAGCAGAAGCTCTTGTGAGAATGGCCTGGAGGGATTGCTGGTCGGAAGGCTGGTAGTGGTGAGCGGGAGAGGGGAGGAAAGAGCGTTAAATTTTGTGAGAATGGGGGAGAGGTGCCTTAGAAAGCAGAGGGATTGCTGGTCGGACGTTTGGTGGTGGTGAGTGGGGGAGAGGAGGGTAAAAAAATCAAGAAGAATTCGTTTACACTGCATATTCCGTTTACGAGAAGAATCTCGTGAAAAAAAACTGTAGCGTTTTCTGTTCAGATGGTTAATGCCGCTGAAAATTATTTGTCGGCAAGAAAACATCCCGCACCTTTAGGCGAGATGTGAAGCCTTGGCAAGCTGGATGGTGACTGTAACGAAAGCGAGTTCGCCGCGACGACGCAGGGAGGGTGGTACCTGAGGAGTCCATGGAGGTTTCCGGAAAAGAATCATTGACACACAGTTGTGAATTTCAAATCATGTAAATACTGGAAAGAGGGATGTAAGAAACAACTTAAGTTACATCGATCGAAGGAGACAGCGAGGATTCGCACCATTTGGTGACGTCGAATCCGCCGTTGCCTTTTGTCACGACGCCGACTCGCACGTCATCCTTAGCTACCGCCTTGCTACAGTGCCGGCACGCGGCACGGCCCGATCGCGCGTACTCAACCACTGCTCGCGCCACGCCCACAGCAGCGGTTTGACATAGACGAAGCTTCACCCTTACGCTACCTAGAAGACTAGCGTTACAGCTAGGGAATATGCGGTGTGCTCTCTCCTGGTTCTGACTGACACTGATAGTGGGGGTGTGTATCTATCCCAATTTCCCGCCAATTGTTTAGTGCGGTTCAGAACGTTTCCACACGTTAATCCATCGGTGGCGCCTAAATGTATGACACTTTGACACTATCGCAGGCACCTCACTGCACCGTTACAGAGCTTGGCGGGTCCGTGGTGTGGCCAAATGGGGAACCCCCGTGTTACAGTTTCGTGGGTTGCCTTTCTTGTAATTCGTTCGGCTCTCTGGTTTCGCGAGTACGATCGCCAACACCAAAGCCCACGATGTCGCACACACCGATTTCAGCGAAGACCACGAACCCACCAAATTCAGTAACCAGCCTTGCTCGACCAAGCTTTGAAAAGATTTGACTCGCGAGACACTACACGAAAGATCGAACGTGCAATGCGAACCTAAAGGGAATCAGACCGAACTGTTCGTGAACCGGCCTTGCCTTGGAATTAGTTCCTCGGCATTTCCTACCTCGAAAATACCTGCCTCAAGAATACCTACCTGGCAGGAAATTCCCGAAATTCGAGCATATGAAGCTTACTAACCTAGGTCGCTACTCGCTGTGTTTGACTCACGCATAGGTGAAACGCCTTGACGGTTCCCTGCCTCTGACGGTTCCCTGCCGGTGAATTCATATGGACTCTGGCAATTTCGGTCCGGAATTTCGCTCTCTGGGTTTCTGTTGTCTCTAGCACGTCACCGTCGCTGGCATTGCACCCCCGCTGCATCACCTATCAATTCAGCGAATTTGATATTTCAATCCAAGATGACGTATGTATTGAGTCTGTACCTATTCACAGCCCTGGCCTTTGCTGCTTTTACCGAGTACAGGATGTCGTCATCACCTCACTGCAAATGCTAAATCCATTAGCGAATTTCCATCTACGCCTCCATGATACACGCACAACTAGGTTATCGCGGGGATAAAGCATGTGATCGTCAGTCTCGCGGCATCACAGGGGCCGACGCGACATGTTTTGAAGGCTTTCCAGTGCTGGACTTCGCACTCAAGAGGGATTTACTCCAAAAATAGAAGAAAAGATGGATCCGAAAGTCCGTCTTTCTGGCGTTCTCCTGGTTGTCGCGCTGGCCTTCATCGCTCTCTCCCCCCAGGTCACCCTCCTCTCCCAGTCACCCTCCTCTCCCACCCTCCTCCCCCAGTCACCCTCCTCTCCCACCCTCCTCCCCCAGTCACCCTCCTCCCCCAGTCACCCTCCTCCCCCAGTCACCCTCCTCCCCCAGCCACCCTCCTCCCCCAGTCGTACCCCCATAGCATGATGCAGTAGAAGTCAATAGCTTTTGAAGGCCCTTCCTGTTTGTCCATGGTGTAGAGAGGGGCCAGCGACCTCACTTCAATTGCGGAGTTGTCTCACTCTCACTTGCGCTGACGGTGTTGTCATTCCTTGCTCGTGGTGTCGTGTTTGAGGGTGAACGGATGCGGGGGGGGGGGGGTGGTGTTGCCGTTCCTGTGATACCAATCCATGGGATAGGGAGGGGAGTCGTTGCTTCACATTAATTGAGGAGTTGTCTCACTCTCCCTTGCGCTGACGGTTTTGCCATTCCTTGCTTGTGGTGTGGTGCTGTGCTTGGATGGGGGCGGATGGGGGAAGGATCTGGGGAAAAAAAGGGGGGGGGGGGAAGGATAGAGGGGGAGGATGGGGGAAAATGTAGGGAAGAGGATGTGGAGAGGGGTGAGGACCAAGGGATTTGGGCAAGGATGGGACTGGCTTGAGTAAGGGTGGGGAGGGGGTGAGGGAGGGGTGGGAAAGAATGGGGGAAAGGGGAAGATGAGGAGGGGAGGGAAGGGGGTTTGAGAGGGGTCAGGGTCAGGAGGTGGTGGGTGGGCTTGGGGAGGGGGTGCTTGCATGGGCAGGTGTATCTGTGCAGGTGGCATCTGCATCGCTGGTCAAATCAGATCAAATCCGATCTTCCAAGGATGTGATCGGGCAGGTGGTGGAGTTTGAAGCAGAGGAAATTGAAGCCCTGGAGGGCGGCAATGCTCGTCCACATGCGGCTGGTCTTGAGAGCGGCGACGCGCGTCCACATGCGACTGCCTTGGAGGGGAGTGAAAGGGGAGGTGGAGAGGAGGGGGTTACAGAGGGCAGGCAGCAAGAGGAGGAGCGCAGTTGGTGGAGGTGGGATGTGGGGAAGGGCGAACTAGTGTGGAGGGAGGGGCCAGAGGGGTTGGCTGACGGGCAGGAAACACTTTTGTGGCTGCCCGAGATCGTGTACGAGGATTTGGAGCTCATGGACCTGAGATATTTCCAGGTGGGCGAGATATTTCCAGGTAAGCGATCTATTTCCAGATGGGTGAGATATTTTCAAGTGGCCAGACGTTTTCAGGTTCAATTTGTTTCCTGATCATCAGGGCCAAACGGATTAGAGATCTTGAGGGAGTTAGTCTTTTCTTGTGGGTGATATTTATTGGCTTGGACGAGGTTCACTAATTAATTCCATTTTAACAAACAACACCCCATGTCAGGCTCTGCTACAGTCAATTCGGTTGGCAAACGACAACCCATCTCACGTGAATGCTCCCCTTCCCCTCTCAGGGCCTGTACGGCCCAGCCCCTGCCTGCCCTTCCTTCTCTGGCTGGTATTGCTGATCAAATTCACCAATGTTGCCAATTTCTCTCTCCCCCTCTTCCTCCCTCCTCTCCACCTTGCTCCTCAACCCCTTCCTCCTCCCACCATCTTCCCCATCCCTCCTCAGGGTCTGCACTGCCCGGCTCCTGCCTGCCCCTCCTTCGCTCGCTGCCGCACTGGCCGCAGGCAGGCAGGCAGGGTACTGGCGTGCACTGGACACGACCCTTTATTGAGTGATCCGTTATCACGCAACAACGGTGGTGCATCCAGTCAGACAGCTTCAACGGACGCGTCAGGGACATCATCTGTCGGCGCGTCAGGGTCGGACTCGATGGCCACCGTAGGCTCGGCGTCTGCGGCGGGCTTAGGCTCGGCGTCAGTAGACGCGTCTCCTCTTGTGGACCCCTCCCCTGTGCTCACCTCGCCTCCCCCCAACCACGTGAAGGACAATGCGACCTATGATGTGGCTGTTGCCGAGCCGTTTGCTGCACAGGTGGGTGGGAGAGAGTGGCTCGCTGGTGGCAAGAGGTTGCAGGGGATGAGATGTGGTGCAGTGTGGTTGGTAGATGTGGTGTGATGTGGGAAAAAAACAGTTCTGTCTTCTCTACGTCTCCTGCTCATCCCTGCAGGTGTTCCTGCTATAGAACGTCTTTATCAACGACTGTTTTGTAGCAATACAAGCATGCTGTTCATCAACGATCAACGACTCACACAACTCACCGACCGTTTTTTAGCAACTCACACATGCCGTCCGCTGTCTCTTTCTCCTCTTCTCCTGCTCCCCCCTGCAGGTGTTCCTTCTAGAGAACGTCTTCATCAACGACCGGGGCATGGTGTTTGATGCCATGTACCACTACCGCCATGGGCTGCTGTGCAGGTGCGTGTGCATGTATGATGTAGGGATGCATGTGTAATAAATGCTAGGTATGGGACAGTGCACGTGGTGTTTGATGCCATGTACCACTATCGCCACGGGCTGCTCTGCAGGTACATACATACATGTGCACATGCATATGGGAATGCGTACATGTATGTGTTGTATCGTTGGGAACAAACATCTCCTCTCCAATCACCGGGGCATGGTGTTTGATGCCATGTACCACTACCGCCATGGGCTGCTGTGCAGGTATGTGGTGTATGGTGGTACATGCATGTACGTGAGAAAGAAAGCACGCATGCGCACGTGCGCACTCTGCGACTGATCTAGAATGCGCATGTGTGCAGCACACATGCCGTAGGTGCGGGAAAGGAAGCCAGCCAGAGTGCGCATGTGTGCAGTGAGCTGCTCTGATAGGCCTGTAGCCATAGCTAACTCCCTCGCCTCGCCTCTCCTCTCCCCTCCCCACTCTACTTCGGTCTGTACACAGGGAAGCAAACCTGAGTGCGCATGTGTGCAGTGAGCTGCTCTCATCGACAGTGTTTCCCCTTCCTCTCCTCCCCCCTCAACCCCTGGTTAGGTGCTGCCCTCTCGACTTCGGCCTATACACAGGGAATGAAACCAAGGTGCACGTGTACAGTGAGCTGCTCTCACGCATTTGCTTCTTCCTCTTTCCTGGTACCTCTTGCTCTCCCCAGGTCCTGTCCCCTCGACTTTGGCCTATACACTGGGAATGAAACCAAGGTGCACGTGTACAGTGAGCTGCTCTCATTGGCCAACTGGAATGGCGGGAACTTCTACCATTCGCTGCTCGAGGTCATGCCGTCCCTTCTCTACCTGCGGCCATTCTTGGAAGCAAAGCCGGGCATTCCCATTCCAGTCAAGATTGACCAGGTTAGGTGCGGTGTGGTGCGGTTCAATGAGGTGTAGTGTCCGTGATCGTTGTCTCTGGAATCCCCATTCTCAACCCAACCTTCTACCACTCTCTCTCTCCTTGAGGTCATACCCTCTCTCCTCCACCTGCGTCTGTTCTTGGAAGCAAAGCTGGGCATTCCAATTCCAGTCAAGATTGACCAGGTGCGGTGCAGTAAGGTGCAGTATGGTGAGGTGCCTTGCTCGTCCTGGGCAGGGCAGTGAGGGGAGGTCCAGTGCCTTGTATGGTGTGTGTCCAAGCCAATCTCCACTATACTGGACCGGAGTTGACTTGACTTTGAGTCAACTCAAAAGTCAACGAGGTACAGTCCCTTGTACGGTGTGTGGTGTGTATCCAAGCCAATCTCCACTCCACTGGACCAGGAATTCCCGTCTTTTACCATTCGCTGCTCGAGGTCATGCCCTCGCTGCTCTACCTGCGACCGACCAGGTGAGATGAGGTGTGGTGCGGCTCTGTGCGGTGAGGTGAGGTACAGTACCTTGTACTGTGTCTCTACAAACCCTTTCTCCTCTGGACCAGCAATCCCCCGCTTCTACCATTAGCTGCTGCAATGCAACCGCATTGAAGAAGTCGTGCGGCTGAAGTTGGCATGACTTCATCAGCTAAGAAGTTGTTAGAGGAAGAGAAGTCGTACCATGTCTTCACGTGAAAGAAGGAGTGTTTTGAGACGTCTCAAAACACCATGTCTTCACGTGAAAGAAGGAGTGTTTTGAGACGTCTCAAAACACCATGTCTTCACGTGAAAGAAGGAGTGTTTTGAGACGTCTCAAAACACCATGTCTTCACGTGAAAGAAGGAGTGTTTTGAGACGTCTCAAAACACCATGTCTTCACGTGAAAGAAGGAGTGTTTTGAGACGTCTCAAAACACCATGTCTTCACGTGAAAGAAGGAGTGTTTTGAGACGTCTCAAAACACCATGTCTTCACGTGAAAGAAGGAGTGTTTTGAGACGTCTCAAAACACCATGTCTTCACGTGAAAGAAGGAGTGTTTTGAGACGTCTCAAAACACCATGTCTTCACGTGAAAGGAGTGTTTTGAGACGTCTCAAAACACCATGTCTTCACGTGAAAGAAGGAGTGTTTTGAGACGTCTCAAAACACCATGTCTTCACGTGAAAGAAGGAGTGTTTTGAGACGTCTCAAAACACCATGTCTTCACGTGAAAGAAGGAGTGTTTTGAGACGTCTCAAAACACCATGTCTTCACGTGAAAGAAGGAGTGTTTTGAGACGTCTCAAAACACCATGTCTTCACGTGAAAGAAGGAGTGTTTTGAGACGTCTCAAAACACCATGTCTTCACGTGAAAGGAGTGTTTTGAGACGTCTCAAAACACCATGTCTTCACGTGAAAGAAGGAGTGTTTTGAGACGTCTCAAAACACCATGTCTTCACGTGAAAGAAGGAGTGTTTTGAGACGTCTCAACACACCATGTCTTCATGTGAAAGAAGGAGTGTTTTGAGACGTCTCAAAACACCATGTCTTCACGTGAAAGAAGGAGTGTTTTGAGACGTCTCAAAACACCATGTCTTCTCTTCCTCTAACTTCAACTTTTGAGTCGACTCAAAAGCTGTCTTCTCTTCCTCTAACATCAACGCCTCAACGCTCAACTTCAAGACAGTTCGCAAGGACCACCCCCTATTCGCCTGCATCTCACCCCATGCCCTTCCCTTTTAAATCACCGCTTGCCCCGACCCCTTGCTCCCAGGACAAGCACGCTCGCCTCTTCTCACTCATCAACGTCAACGCATCAACCCTAAACTTTCAAACAGTGCGAAAAGACCACCTGTTCTTTGCTCGCCGCCTGCACCTTACTCCATAATCTCACCCCTTTGCCCCAACCCCTTGCTCCCAGGACAAGCATGCAAGGCTGTTTTCGCTCATCAACATCAACGCTTCAACTCTCAACTTTCAAACAGTCCGCAAGGATCATCTCTTCTTCGCTCGCCGCCTGCTGCTGCCGTCCATTGCGCAGTGCGGCCGCCCGTCCGCCGCCCTCGTCCGGCACTTGCGCAATCATTACCTGCTCCCGCCGTCCGCCCCGAGAATCAAATCTCGGCACGAGCTGGCACAATTTTCCAGCTACGCTACTGCTACAACTGTTCCTGTTACAGCTGCTGCTACAGATGTTGCTGCTGCTGGCAATGCTGGTACTGATCCCACAGCTGCTGCTGCCTCGGATGGTGCTGGGCTGGCTGCAGGGGGTGGTGTGCTGGCGACGCCTGATTGGTGCGTGGTGGTGGGTCAGCGCGACACAACGAGGAGGATTGTGGGGCGAACGCACATACTGGAGGAACTACAGGCGTTCTTTCCCAAGGAGAGGATCATGGTGAGTGGTTGAGTACGGTGAACACATGTGTTGTGGTGTGGTGTGTGGTAGACTCATGAGTGACACCACGAGGCGGACTGTGGGGCGAACACACATATTGGAGAAACTGCAGGCATTCTTTCCAAGAGAGAGTATTGTGGTGAGATGGAGGAGTATTGTGGTGAGATGGAGGAGTATTGTGGTGAGATGGAGGAGTATTGTGGTGAGATGGAGGAGTATTGTGGTGAGATGGAGGAGTATTGTGGTGAGATGGAGGAGTATTGTGGTGAGATGGAGGAGTATTGTGGTGAGATGGAGGAGTATTGTGGTGAGATGGAGGAGTATTGTGGTGAGATGGAGGAGTATTGTGGTGAGATGGAGGAGTATTGTGGTGAGTGAGGAAGAGCCGTGATGAGTGGATTGGTGTGTTTCTCCGTGTGTCCAGTGCGGTACTGATTGGTGCTTGCTGGTGTATAGTGTGACACCACGAGGCGGAGTGTGGGTTGGTCACATACATTGGACGAAGGTTGTGTATAAAGGAAAGGATCGTGGTGAGTGGAGAAAGGTTGTGGTGAGTGAATGAGTGTGGGTCTCCTTGTGTCTGGTATTGATTGGTGCTTGGTGGTGGGTCAGCGTGGCACCATGAGAGGGGATGTGTGTGGGGCAGACACACATCATGGAACTGCAGGCGTTCTTTCCCAAGGTGAGGATCGTCCATAACCCCTCGCTAGCCCCTCGTGGCCAATATGTGCCCTTGCAAGGGGACATATTGGAATATGCCCTGTTCTTCCGGTTCCTTGCATCTCACTCCAACGCCCAGGTGTTTCGAGGAGACCTCCCTCTGCCTGAGGCAAAGCAGCTATTCAACCGCGCCCGATTGTTCATCACCCCTCACGGCGCCCTCATGGCAAATATGGTCTTCATGCCGCCCGGTGGCTTTGTCCTGGAAGCACGGCCGGAAGATTTTGATAACAATCTGTATGATTATTTGGCTTATGTGTGCGATTTGCATTATTATCTTGTGAAAGGCGTTGGCGGGAAGGATACGGATATTAGAGTGGATATGGAGGAGATGGTTGGGGTGGTGGATGAGATTTCTAAAAAGCTGATCGCACAAAACTTGTAGTGCATTGTATAGGACAATGATAACAACAATGGAGTTGCAATGCAGCTTTTTTGATAGCTAGATCACTTGTAAGAACAGGTACTAGAGAAATTTTAATCATTAGCATGTTCAACCAGGGTAAGGCCTGACAAGTGTGTTATCACCTTGTAAGAAACAACAAAAACCACTATTCTATTTGGCATTGAACGCGACTTGGGAGCCTTCGCTGTTCGCCAATTTCCATCAGTCACACCGCGATGCACCAGGTCACGACGGGACGGAATTGTAGGCCCTGTTCGATAGCTTTTGAGACTTCCAGGATGCAACCGTTTGGAATGGCCTTGTCGCCCAAATGGTTAAGGGTCGCGACAAAGTGCAAGTGGGCCTCTGGGCCGGCAGTGTAATTATTTGGCCGCCCCAACGCCGACTTGTTTCACCGAACTCAACCGTGCAGGGTGTCGAAAAGCTCCACCCTAACGGCCCATTGAAGCGGACGAGGGTTCCCCCAAAGTTGACAGGTGAAGGCGGAAAAAACCGAAAAACAAAATACCGCTGGATGTACGGGAAAAAAAAAACCATCCACGTAGAACATCTCTGCAAGGAAACCCTAATTCGCGAAACACACTTCCTAATTCGTTGTATGTCGCTAAGGCACTGGACTCCACAAATCGCGACGTAGTACGAAGCTGCGAAATGTGCAAGTCTCAAGAGTCAAAAGGCTCAGATTCGACCGGGCATGCTCTGTTTTTCTTTACCCTACTTTTGGGCAGTTAGAGATAGGGAAACCGCTAGATTAGAGTATCCCTAAATAGCCCATTGGTCTGGCAGTGAAGCGATTTAGTTGAAAAGCAACTTTGGCAATGGTCCGACAATGGTCTGGTGTTTTACCAGGGAGGGGCTGTAATCATTAGGCGGGAGTTACTGTTCTTGCGCGCTGTGGTGTCAAAGTACCTCGTTAAGATTCCCGCCAACTTTTAGCAGATGGGCGGGAAACCGTGGAGATCGCAGGGGGGTCGTTCGCGCTGGCGGGAATTATGCACCATCGCATGAGGTCCCAAACCGTTTCCCGCCCAAGGAACAAGGTTACCTCAATGTTTTCTGGCATGGGTCACCCTCGCTATCGAACAGGGTCGTAAATTGGCCTCGAGCTCACGTCAGTCAGATCAGAAGTCCCAATTTGGGACTCCCAAAACTCACCCGAGGAAACTGTAAATTGGCCACCATGAGCTTGAAGTTCCGAAATCACTCGTGCATTCATTGAAAGCACCATTTTGTTGACGTGCCTTTTCACAGGGCGAGGAACGAGGGCATCAGCTGGTATGCAGCAACTCATTGCTGAGCACTCAGTGCCCGTCGGGACGCTATTCGCTGCTCAGCAGCCCAAGTGAACACCGATCGCACAGGGTCCATGAGCGCCCGCTGCAGCTGCAGTTTCGAATGCCCGTGTTCATTACACATCGGCACAACAGACGTGCGAGCGGAGCCAGCATGATACCCGGCCGGATGCGCTGTGCGCACGCGAAACTGATTATAGTAGCTCGTCACCCCTTGCGTCGTCACGCGAGCATCCACTGAGGGCGAACTCCACGGCCGCTGGCTGCTCGCCGATGGTTGCGACGCCGCGACTGACGCGGACAACGGTGTTTGGTACAACGGACTGGGCAGACGGCTTGTTACCGCTGCGTTCGCCGTGGTCGCGGAGTGAACCGGCGCGCCTGCACGAACAGGGGCGGCCGATCTCGCAGTCGGTGAAATCTGCTGCTGCCTGCTATCGCGCGCGTGACGGTAACAGCTGTTCGCTGAGTCTGCTGCCAGCAGTGCTGACGGCATTGGGCCTTCTGGTCGTCTGTATGTAGCGGCTCCCCCTTGCCGCCAGACGAGCGCAGTCATGATGTCGTTCCATAGCACGGCGGTGTCCTTCTCGCCCAGTGCGTGCACTCTCCGGGAGCGGCGGAGCGGCACGTGACGGATCCCTTGCGATCGCGCTTCTGAAAAGACGGATTTCAGAGGCTGCGCTGGCCTTCGGCGGCTATCCGAGGAGTCTTTTCCCTCCAATCTTGTTAGCACGGGCTCGCTTTTGCTGCGCTTAAGCCGACGCTGTGCGTGGATATCGTGGCGGTTGTTTCCAAACACCGGCTTGCAAGTCGCGCGATTCCACGAGTCGAGTCGCCGCTGGGCCGAGTCCAGCGACAGGCGACCTCTGTCACGACCGCAACGGCTCATGTCGCGTGGGCCGTCGTTGGCGGCTGTGAGAGCGACGAGATGCTGTAGCTGCTGGAGTGACAACCCGTGGCCTGCGACGAATTCAGTCGACGGGGACTGTGGTTGTGCGCTTCGGTGCGCTCTGGTGCGTGCGTGCGGCGCATCGTGAGGAGAAGATGTGGGTTTTCCTGATTGCGGCGTCTCCGGTTGAAAGCGAGTGGTCGGAAGCGGTTGTGAGTGCGGCGAGGCGCTTTTTGCACGTCTGGCCGCAGTGGCGCTGGCAGCGGGATTTGCGGGCGACGAAGGCTGTGACAGTAATGCGAACTGCTGAGCCGTAGTCACCGTCAATGCACGAAATGCAGCCGTAGCAGAGCGAGTACTGTGATAAAGAAGATTGTCGGACGTTTCAGAAGCCATTGTTTGCTCTGTGATTGAAGCACTATTAGTCAGGGGGGGAGTCTTGAGGTGAAGGGTGAATGAATGTGAGGTCCATAACCCGTAACAATTTATGCTCTCATCGCGATTTCTAGTGCCAATACGCTGAGTGGGCGGCGAAATGAAACTGCTTCACCTTCGTTGCATGGCTTCGCCTGACTCTGAATTGTTGGGGAATTGGCGGTGAGTGGGGCGAAACATTTGGCGGTGATATTGTTCGCATCTGGTACGGTACGGATTCGCGAAGAAGAAAATTATCGCTAATCTGGCAGAGGTGAAAGGTGAACGAATGTGAGGACCACAACCCGTAACAATTTATGCTCTCAATCACGATTTCCAACCAATCCGCTGAATAATGAAACTGCTCCAGATTCGTTGCATGTCTCCGCCTGACTCTCTGGATTGTTGGTGCAAAGGAATGCCAGTCATGGGCGCGTGGGTTCGATCGATGTTGGGGAATTGGCGGTGGCAGGGGCGAACATTTGGTATGGGGTGCGGTGATACTATACGCATCTGGTACGGTATGGCAAATGACGTAGCAATTCATGGAAAAGTGCCTGTTTTTTCAAGAATACGTCATGTTGTGTGAATGCTGAAACTAAAACCCGAGCGTGTTAAGATGTATGACGTCAAGCCTCTTAAACATGATGTTTTTAACACTCGTTATACCAATCTACTGAGCACTTATTATAGGAGTAGTACCACTCAGTAGTATTACTCAGTATTACTAATCGCTATCCTACTCTTACTGGCACTATATGCTTTAATCCAATGTCTGCAACTGGGAAGAAAATCCCACGAGTACCTTCGACTTTTTATGTGAAGAGGGGTGGGAAGGTTGGAGGCTGGGGTTGGGATGGAGGGGGGTGCTTGGTGATGGGGGCGATGAGGGTTGTTCACGAGGGAAACAAAAACTAGTACACTCTTGGGCCAGCCCCCTAGAGGTTCCCCGAACCGAGTTTGTGCTCACTTGCGATCACTATTCATTTCCACCCAAGTCAGTTTTCAACCACGTGGTGGCATTCTTCAAATCTCTCCCCAACCGTACTTGTTCAACTTTGGTGGTGTTCCCCGTTAGTGTCTCGTCCGTTTTGTGGCGCACTTTACAAACAGTCCCTTACCATGGTGACAATAAATCTTTCACTACTGTGGAAAGACCCTATCGGGCCCATTTGTGCCTTTCACTTCCCACATGAATCTACTTACGAACGAGGGCCGAGCCAAACCCTATCAGTTTTTTCTGCACCAAACCCTATCGAGCCAAGCAGGGCCGCCCAGGCGCGAAGCAGTTTTACGTTTGCCCCGACTACTGACACGGTTCCATTCTGCCCGACCCCAGCCCTGTTTTAGCTGTGTTAGTAAGCGATGTTACCACATGTCGCTAATGGTGAAAAGTTCGCCGCCTTTTCTACAGTACGAGCCAATAACTCCGCCATGGCATTCTGTAGTGCAGACAATCGGAAACGACTAGTATCTCAGCCTAGTATCTCACCCTACCTCAGCGGGGTATAGGATCATCAATCTACCACGATGCGCTTCTAATTACGGATCGCTGGTTCATGCTTGCGGGCTTGCACAATCTCTCACCATGCTTCGCGACTCTCGTATTTTAGTAGGAAGTTGCGCGGGGAAGTGCAGCACGTGGCATGTGGTCGAG